GGCTGAAAAATAACTGGAAGCTGGGGAACTGAGTTTTAGTCCAATGCTAACCCATAAAAAAACCCTAATACTTTAATCCTCACACAAGGAGGATGCAGTGGGTGTCCAGCAAAAGCCTGGAAAGTGAACTGATAACTTCCAACAGCTAGAAGTAACTCAAGACACCATGACCTGTACTTTATGAGTTATTGCTGAATAGCTCCCAGATGAGCTACATTAATAAAGCTGTTGTCTAATTAAACCACAGCCTTTGCATCTTGTCCTCCTATGTCTCAGGGAAGATCAATGCAAACCAAGGCAATCCAAGTGGGATTCATTAAATGCATCTGTGAGCCATGCCAGTTCAACAAACAATTAGACACACAATGTGACAATCAGTAAAACAAACCAATCTTATGGTTATGATCCTATCGACATGGCTTTCCTCAAGTGTATTTCCAATTAATTATAAAACATTTTTACACAAATAGTGGCATCTCTAACTATCTACTTTAAACACAACTAACACTGTCAATAGACTAATTTCTTTAAGCAAACAACATTGCCTTGCTCTTGCCAGGAAAGTCTTATTCCACTGAAACTTCCTTCTGTGCCATCCAGCAGTATACAATTATATTGATAGAGTTGTCACCCCTGAAGGAAGTCAATGGGATACATAGGTAAACGTATTAACAAGATAATAAGGCTCCCCAAGAAGCAGTGATTAGCACGTTTCAATGAATATTAAAAATATCAACAAACAATATACATTGGTGACTTAAAGAAATCTGTTCAATATCTACTTTTAGGTTTAAAAGCCAAATGAGAAGTACACATGCTACAGCTTTGTACTCGTGACTCTCAAAAACTTTTTGCAAAGATTGGTGTTGCCATTTTCTGTGCTTACCTGTTGCACAGTTGAGTGCAAAGTTTGCACAGAGCTGCATTTGCTGGGCTGGAAGCTGGCCCAAGCAGATAACAGCAGCAGAGCAGGGGACTCCAAGCTGCTTCCCTGTACTCCTGCCACAGCCTGTGGACACATCTGTGGATGCATTAACGCTGCCACTGTAATCTGAGCTGGAGGACAGCTGTATTGCAAGCCTTGCAACATCCTCTAGTTGTTTCACATCAAAGAATAGTTTTAGACTGTGTAAGTGCTTTTTAGAAAAGCAAAAACAAACTGAAATGATCTAGGATTACAACTGATGCTCTTCAACAACTCAAAGGCACTCACTGTTTTATGCTTTGCGATACACCAGGAATAAATCTCATACTCTCTAACACAGGCAGAGCCAGCAGGGCTCAGAAATGAGCATATATTTTCACATTGACAGGATTCACTAGAAGAAGCTAATTATTAAACTCACTTTAAATCAGAACTGCCCACCACATTTTATTTGCATTTATCAGATATGAAAAAGATTTCCCATAAAATTCACATCTAATAAATGGCAAAGAAGAGCTTTTAGAAGCTACAAAAGCATTACTAAGAATAGAAATGAAGTCTCTGTATTTTAGATGAGGCCTACATGCTCAAAAGCATGCAAAAGAATCTGTAAAGGGGAGCTTATTCGCACCACCATACCGTGCTCCTTAGGGATTAAACAGCTGATAGCCAGACAACAGGAGTTCTGGCCCATGCTCTACTGGTCATACAACATTTAGACACAAGCCCTGGGATACAGTTTCTGGTGAAAAAACGCAGAAGACACGAGTTCCATGTGAAAGCATTGGCACATTCAGAACAGAAGAAAAACAAGAAAAAACTGCTTCCACTAACTAGATAGCCTAAAACATGGCTTCTCAGTTTACAACAGCAAAGGCAAGACATTTGTTTTTACTTGCATGCATTCCATTTCATTTTTTGTTTTACACACTTCCTTGAAGTATCACACTTGCTGGCATAGATCATTTATCAAAGTGAATTTGAAGACTAGAAAAGTAAGGGTCAATCCTGCTTCAAATCCAAGCAGTTTCAGTGGGCATTTCATAATAATAACAATAAATCAATAGTCACACACCTTAGCACCACCATCAAAACCATTCACGTGAACTTTAAGGACTTCAAATCATATGCAAATTCACTAGGTCTCAAATTCTGAATTCAAATGCAATCTAATCAGAAAATAAGTCGATTTAGACAGATACTCAAGCAAGAAACGTTAGGATGATCTAACATCAATGTTCCAGTATCAAATACCTGCTTCAATCAATATTCTTTGCTAATAATAGTGGAAATATTAACCTGAAGTCACTGTCTTATGTAAAAGAAGCTACCGAAGATAAAAACGTTACATTACAACAGCAAGCATTGAAAGAACAATGTCTTGTTGTAGTATGGCTGCACTTTTTAAATTTATTTTGTTATTATCATAATACAGTAGATACTAAACATAACTACGTGATTACTTCCTTGCTTCCTATTTCCTACCTTATTTTTCTTATCTAACAAAAAATCCAAAGACATTGGTCTGAACAAGGTAAGTTTTCTTAAAGAGTTAGAACAGAAACAAAAGGCATATTATATACCTTATACAGAGAGGCACAAGGAAGTGCCAGCTCCTATATCACTGCTCAAATCAATTATAAAAAAAATATACAGAGAAGCCAAGACCTAAACAAGTTTTTGTTGCAAGAACTGCATTTCAGTGTGTGCTGAAAGGGGAGAAATAGCAGTTTGGAAATGCAGACTGCCTGGAATTAATGAAAATTTTCTCAGGCCTGATATACCAGGAAAAATGTTCAGGAATGCTTCACCATATGGAAAGGCTCACATTTCCTCCAACAGGATCTGGGCAGAACAGTTACGGAAAGGCAACACCCAGAGCTGCCTGTAGTCACATGTACTCAGGGATACACTTCTAAACTCACTGTTTCAGGTGAAAGGAGCCCACTTTTCATTTCCCCACTCCATCCTGGTGGATGAGGAACTGCTATTCACTGCATTCAGGCGGTAAGTAATTCTGAAGTGCAAAGGACATTTTAATCAGGCCAACACTGTTTTATGCTTTATATTGACTTTGCTTTCACAGAATCACAAGGTTGGAAACGACCTGCAAGATCATCTAGTCCAACCACTCTCCCATTCCTATTATTACCACAAGCTTTTTTTTTTTTTTTTTTGCTGTTAATTGATTTATTTGTTCCTGTTGAGGATATGAACTTATCATTGATTTCTATTAAGCCAAACAGTTGAAGAATGAAACATCTATCATAAGTTGATGTTTTTCCAGAAAAGGCCAATAAAGAAGAAAGCTCCCATTTTATATGTCTCCCATGTGAACAACTGCAACCTCAATTCAGCGAGAAACTTCAGCATCAAACCAGTCCTACTGAGCAATGAGATTATTGGTAGCCAAGGGAAGTGCTTATGCACCATGTTGCATGGTCACTTGTAAACACAACTCATCACCAGCAGCAGCAACTCAGTATGTTAAAACAGTTACAGATTTTTATTCCAAATCATTATACATAAAATAGGGTAAAAAAAAGATATTTCAAATCACATTCTCATCTTTAGCATTTAGTAGAATCATAGAAATCTGAGTGAAAACTCTTAGAATAAAAACAATTAAGGCATTAATGTAAAAGGATTCAGCAGTTTTTAATGTGATTAACCTTTGAAGCCATATGAATCTCTTTCTTGGTTGTTTTTTTTTTTGTTTGTTTGTTTTTTTTTTTTGTTTTGTTTTTTTTTTTTTTTAGTAGTCTCAACAGAGATGCCAACCTCTTTAGAATAGAACACTGTGATCAGAAGAGCTGGAGAGAGCCCTACAGCGCTTGAGGATTCCCTGCCCATCAAGACGATGTGAGGAGTTTCATGCTGTGACTGAGACTTTCCACGTTCACTCTAATACATGTTAAGAGCTGTTGGCAGTGGCTGCTCGTCATCATATCTGCCCATACCCTAACACTTGTAACATCTGAACCCTCACGAAAATTTATGAACAGCTATCAGATAATATTTTTGGGGAAAGGGAGAGCACAGGGAGAAAAGGAGGAGGGGGTGCAAATACACTATGGTTTGAAGAAAAAAGTGCCCAAGACTTACAACTACTCAGTAGTTGTAGCAAGCATACTGAATGCTTGCTAGCCTATTTATAAAATTTCCTAAACTCAGCAGGTTTTTTTTATCAATCCTCCTCACAGGCTTGTTTCCAGCTCCCAGGGGAGATGTCAGCAACAACTTTTATCTGCAGATTTCAAACACCCTTCATGGCAGGCGTCAGTTCTAGAAAGAGAGTCCAAAGAACTGTGGACATGTGCTTTAATAACAGATAGCGGATGAACTTTCTGAATGCCATGGACTAATCTGACCTAACAGTGCTTTCACCTATTAGCTATTGGATTTTTTCATTTAGTAGCATCGTGTTTCCAGTTCCTATGCATTAACTCTAATCCCATCACACAACACTCATCCTGTAACCATGAACCTGACTTATGACCCATGACAGCCTTCAGAAAGCACATGAAAGTCGTTATGAAGACAGTTTCCTCTTATTCTGTGACTTAATATGAAAACCATTTTGAAACTCCAACACGTATCAGTCATAAAATTAAATGTTTCTATCCACTGATTCAGGTAAAAGAAAAAGTAGGGTCAATCAGATGAACAGAAAGAGATCTTCAGCAAAGCTACTCAACAGAGAGAGAATGAAATAAAGAAACAAACCACTTGGGACAGCTACAGCTTAGCCTTGCAAAGTGTACACCACCAACACCAATTTTTGGAGCTACATTAAGAAACAGCTCATTAAGCAGATTTGTATAAAATGAGAATGGGAACAATGCTTAGAATTGCAATAAGTTTCTTAATGTATCACTTCAAATCCTGCGTGTCTAATAAAACCCTGCCTTCTTCAAGGCATGGTCTACAGCTATTTGCATTTAGGACTGACGCCGCTCCCCATTCACAAAAAGGTGATAGTAATAATACTCATCTGTAAAGTTCCAACAACTAAAACAACAAAGCTTAGTAAAAAAAAAAAGTTAAGACTACTTTGAAGTGTCAAGATACTTACGTCAGCTTTAAAACACAGCACAGATTAATTTTTCACTCATAGTTTCAGTTTTGACACCACTGGTTTCAGACGAGTTTTTTTGCTTGACCACCTGCAGAAAAACAGACCCAGCACACTGAGTACGTTTTCCTCAATCTGGGCCCTGAGAATGCATGTCAAAACTTTGGATTATGAGACATGCCTTCAGGGCATTACTCTACCGAGCAGTGAAGCATCCTGTCAAGATTCTGATAAGTGCCGCTTCACCCCCTTCAAATTTTGCAAGAGTTATTTAAAGGCAAAGGTGAGCTAAGAGAAGGGGAAACAGGGTGTAAATTCCTGAAAATAGACAAATTATTCCTTGCTTAAGGGAGGAAGAATTTTTCTAAGTTAATACTGTGGGATCTTAAAGAACAAGGAAGATTCTTGGGCATTACATACTCACAGAAAGATTTCTGACTAATTTTTCTGTTGTTTCTTGTACACTTGAGAGAATATTCCTACTTGAAATGCCTATTTCAAATAACACCCGTTATATAAAAGCATGCCAAGATGTTCAAACTCTAATCTGAACAATCTGTATAAGCACAGCAAACATGTACCAGATCAGTTCAAACAGGAAAAGAGAAAGTTAAAAAAAAAAACAAACATCTTTAGAACAGCAGCAGATGTAGTCCAGTAGCCATTGAGAACTCCACGCCTTTCGTTACTCCAGTAAAAGCAAACAGAAAGTGAACAGACCGCCTACCACTCCTCAGCACTACCTGCTGAACTCAGCACTTCACAGACAAGCAAGAGATGATCTCGTCCTGAAAAGTTTTAAACGCTCTGATGAATAGTTCAGTTCAAAACGGGGCATTTGTTAAGAAAAACAGCTAGAAGTGAAGGGTAGAAATAAAGCAAATGCTGAGACATCATCCCAAATGTGGTTACATACATATGTAAATATTGTGGACATAAATAGAGCTTATCTTCAGTTTAAAAGGAACAACCTTTCGCTAACGTAATGACAGACCTGTCTGTACTAGGGTGCTCACTTCCACCACCATGACACAGAACCATTACAGAAAACTTCTACATGCACGTGATAAGAGAAGAACCCACGGACAGTAAGATGTAAAGCAAAATGAATCCTTTAGCCACTCACATGAGGACCCCAAAATATAAAGTTAGACAAACATTTGATTGTTGCCACAAAGATTGTGTCAAGGCTTCCAAATCTCACCTAGCACCATGTTTGCTCAGCGATCTGTCACAAGGTATAGATTCTTTTCTTTATTAATACTGTTACATTCCACATTTTGCCTAGAAGTTCAATCACGTCACAAGTAAACTCTGTTGAGGTCAATGATACGTTTCTCAAGAGTTGTTTGACTAGGAAATGCACATTAAGAATAGCTAAATAACAGCAATTTTCTTTTTAAAATTGGCAAGGATTTTTAAATTGCTTTAGAATGCAACAGCTCATCATAGAGCACAGCAATCCTAGTTACCAGTGGCAGGCAATAACATATTTACTAGAAAGTTACACCACAGAGTGTCCACAGGTGCTGAAAAACTCCCACAACAGCAACCCCAGTCAGACAGATTTTTCTCCCTGCACAATCCGTGAATGTTGGGACCAAGTAAACTGTACATTTCCCATTTGCTTTCTCTTCCACGTCTTTCCTTTGTCCTTTCTTTCTCTCAGTCTTAGTACTGTACCAGCATTATCTTTGCCAGGACAGTACATCACCAAATCTCTGGCCCTCATCTCATTCAGAACTTTCTCCAATTTCTATATTCTCACTGTCCAAAGCCCATAAAGAGAAACTCCACATCCCAGACCCACTTTTCAGGTGTTAGTTTTCTTTGCCCTGCCCCTGAGGCTGGCTTTTTGATAACATAACTGTACAGTGCTGCTACTAACAATAAATGCCTTTATGCACGAGGAGGAGCCAAGCCAGAGCATGAACATCTGAAGCACAAGGTCTTAAATAAACCCCAGTTCTAACACAAATGCCTAATCCCACAACCAAAGGATTAACTGTCTCAGTTTATAGCAAATGGTTTAATTAGAACGCCGTCTGTCTGAAGTTTTCCTGATGACTAGAAAAGCCTAGAAATAGATTAAAACATATGTTTCTTCAACAATGTTTGAATAATAAAGCAGCCAGACTTTCACAGAAATCTATGACAGAATTTACATCTTTTCCTATTAGAGTCACAGCATCTGAAGAGTGATTCTCCTTTAGGAAATCCACAGAGCTTCTGTTCCTATAACAGAAGAGTAGCATCAAGACCCTAACCTGGCAGCTGAGTGTGTACTGAGAGATTACTCAGAAGGATCTTTATAAAGAGCTGCCTGGAAGCAAATGTTCAGTAGTAATATCCCTCTTTATATATATATTAAAAAAAAGTTTCTTTTTTTTTTTTTTTTTTTTTTAAATATATTTTATTACAGATGTCAAAGCACTTGTATGCCTTGCAAATCTTCAGTCCACAGCATTTTAGAAAACAAAGCTTATATATCAGGCTCAGTTAATAGACTAAACATCAATCCATGAATGTTCTCAGTTGGGGAGTACTATCACTAATGATAGAATCAACTAATTAAAGATGGAACATGTAGCATAAAGAGAATGTAGGACCTTCCCTTGAGTACATTTCCTATCAGTTTTTCCCTAAGGTGTAATTGTACCTTGTTAACATTTATGCTACTCCTGTTACGTACATACAGTGAATGCAGAGAAGGATTATTCATCATCATAAGTGTTTTTCAGATGTGTGAAAGGGAATTTATGAGGGTGAAGAAAAGCGTAACTTGTAAATATTTTAATGTGACTTCCTCAGATTGCATGATTTTAATATGATGTAAGTTTGTAAAGTATTAATATGTACCTGTGTTATTTCAATCTATATATGCAGCTAATGCTGTGGCAATTATTTAATTACAGAAGAGAAGATTCCCACATTCCACAAATTGCTGTGCTGTGTTCTACACGGAAGAATAACATGTCTAATTTTACTCTGAAAATGAATGATTTGTCATGCAGAAATGTCCATTAGATTTAACCATTACCAAAAAAACAGGGTAATAAATCATCATTTTGCATCAAATGAAGAAGCAGCACCTTTCTCAATTTGGTTGTTCAGTCATAATCATGATAAATGGACATTCTAGGACAGGCAAATTTTAACAGGCATCCAATACACTTAGATTAATTAGATTTTGTTTTCTAAAGATGTTCTCTTACTCCATGAATGAGAGAAACAAGCTTAAAATAACGCTAAATAAACAAGTATTCATTGTTGCATTAGGAAGTTGTTCGTTCTCAGGGGACAGCCTACTGAAGCTGATGGAACTTTACAAAAGTGCTGATAGATGAACACAGTAAAGCAGTTCAGAACAGCTACTACAGGTTCCTCTGTGTTTGTAGCTGCTGCCCATGAAATCCCACACAAGAGGACATGGACATACAAAGCATGTAGAGAACAAACACACCTAACGTGCCTCAGCAGTTTAGTTTGTACATGAGGACTAGCCCATGGCCTAGGACTTCCAACCATCAGTTCCTTTAGTCCTGATCACTCCAATTTCCCACGCAGAAAAAAGAGACATGGCAAGAGAAACCTGCATTTCAGCTAGTCCAGCTTACCTGCAGCGTCTGTTTCCATCTCTTCTGTGAAATGAAACATGAGCAAATTACAAAAGATCCCCCAGCATCTCATCTGCACAGTACAACTGCAATTGTTAAGAAAGTGCAAGTATCTTCAAAATGCAATTACTCTACCTTCCCTTACACTTAGCTTGCAATTTGGTTAGACTGGGGGGTGGTTTTCAGTTTAACACAGGTGTCCAACACAACCAAGAATTGCTACCAAAGTCAAGCATCTGCTTCAAAGTATGTAGCAGAGGTTTTCAAAAAGAGAAATAATTCCCATTCAGCGTAGGAAAAAAACAGCATATTCCTGTATTCTTGAAAACCATCCTGTTATCTATTCTGCATCTTTCCAGAACAAGCAAAGAATTCTCCTGGAGCATATGCATAGATCCTTTCACTTTGAAAAATAAAAATCTAGCCAGTTTCTAAACAACTGAAAACAAAAATATCTTATTTTGCTCCCAGTTGGCAAGGCTCGATAACCAGAGCCCTTGATAGCCACAACACGTGCCAAATAACAATATGGAGTGTTAATTAACTTCACCTACCTACAGTAGGCTTGACGATTGCGCAGCTCTTTGTACTTCAGCACATTTGTGAAATAAGGGAAGAATCTTGGGCTCTTCAACATGCCACTTGGAAAACAAGCTTAGGCAGTGTTTGAGTCTGAATGAATTCTATTAAAGGCAAAGATTTTATTAGGAGGTCTGAGAGTTTGAAGTTTGTTTGAAGCAAGCACTCGGAGAAACAGTTAAAAGGAAATTAGAGTTAACTCAAAGAATTTGAATGATTAGGCAGATCTGTGTGAGCTGAGAAAAACATGGTACAGAATAATCTTCAGGTCCTTACTCTCAGCATTGTTGCAGGTAAATGATTTGTAAGGACAATCCTCCATTTGTTTCTCTTGGATGCTGCAAGGAGGCTTGAATGCAGCAAATGTGGATTTTAGTTACAGATCACACACGGTGCAAGGCTTATATCTTAGATATGTCTCTAAATCCTCTGTGACACGTAAAAGCTTTAGGTAATTGAATTTCATTTAATATCTCTTTCAACATCTCTTGAAGCTTACAGACTTCACCCCTTTGCACTGTGGATTATTCCAACCAGCTGGACAGCAGTTTTCTACTAAATGCTTTAACTTATAATTGTGGTTCCTAAGTACTACACACACAAGAGCCTGTTACTCATAATTTCCATTATGAGCCCTATTCTTGAAATCAATAGTTCACTGATTTTACCATTTATGTGCTGAAACATCACGCCCAAGTCCTACCCTGAGCTGTGAGATTTCTTTTTTTTTTTCCCCCCTTTTTTTTCCCTACAGGAATAGAATTCCTTGTGTTTTTGAAAGCTACTTGACTCCTAGCTGCTCTACAGTCAGCGAACTTCATACAGATCACAGGGAATTCTTTTCTAATGGGTTACATAGTTGGTGTTCCTAGATCTCATTCATTATGAGGAAAAA